CGTGCCCAATAAAAACTTTTGTCTACTGGATAACCGAACCCGTGTCTGTCGTTTTCTGACAGGCTGGATGCTTTGAAAAGTACATTTAGCCATCTGTCTGCTTCTCAGACTAGAGAAAACTCTAGCTCTTTTTGGAAAGATCTAGCACTCGTTCAAAAGGGCACCCAGCTGGCTATCTTTGCAATAGTTACTAGGGATTGCCGTATTTCTAAGGAGTCTAGGGAAGGCTTCACCAACACTCTGCAAGGCTGTGGTCAGACATTATGCAAGGAGATGCATCTGGGGAAGCCAGGGGTCCAGTCCCTCCTGCAGTCCAAGCCAAAATGGCCGTGGAAGACCTTTCCTGGGGAAGCGTCTTCTGCAGCAGCCAAGGGGAGCTGCGCAGATCTCAACCTCTGCCTGCGTCCACATCCACAACCCTCGGAAGCATCCTGGTTTGTGTCCAGGGCACAAATGGTGTTGGGAGAGGAGGATAAAGCATGACTTTAAGAGTGTAAGCTGCTCAGCTATGGACATACCAGATAAAAAAGGCTGCGAGGCACGCTTATGCTGCAGCTAGGAAGACATGACCAGGACCCCATAGTTTTTACCCAGTGTTTCTCAAACCTGGCAACGTTAAGAAGTGTTGGCTAGGGAATTCTGGGAGTTAAAGTCCACACATCTTAAAGTTGCCCAGTTGGAGAAACACTGGGTTAATCAGCCACTATTGCAGCACTATTAAGCCTCTCTGCATTACTGGCATCTTGGCGCAGCTCTGCCGCGTTGATGGCAGAACTCATTAGTGAGGACTCGGAAATGCCCTCAACTGACAGCTAAATCGAAGACGAGTCTCTATCCTTTTTGTTGTTGTTGTTGTTCCTATCTCTATGTTCATGTACCCCGTCCTCAGATTGGCTAAGACTCCCTGTGCCATGATAGGATGAAAAACGGGGGCGTGTGGCTGTGGACTAATTTGGATAGGCTGAATGGAGAAGCCGCGGGCGGGACTAAGAGCGGTGACAGGCGATCTGTCGGGACGGCGGCCGAGAGGGCAGGGACGGTGGATGGCCGCCGCTGTGCGCGGTAACTGTCGCCACTTCGGTCGCTGGGGGTCGTTGCCCAGCTGGTTCGCGGCCGCCTCGGACGCGCGTCCCCTCGTCAGCATGGAGGCCGCCGCCGCTGCCGCCGCGTCCTCCTCAGCCCCGGCCCCGCGGTGGCTGGGCGCTCTGCGGTTCGATAACCGGGCT